CTTGCCACCCGTCACGGGGGAGCCCGGGGCAGGTACCGCCTGGTCGGGAGTGGACAGCGCTCGCTGTGGGGATGCCCTCACCGGCAGCAGCATTTCCTGCCCGCTAAGCTTCATGTCAGGACACCAGAGCAGTGGCGCTTGTGCCAAAGCTTTCCGACCCAGTCAGAATGCCTTGTCCTTTCCCGGTGTCCTAGGGGATGCCTTGTCCTTCCCCGCATCCGCCCCTGCTTGTCCCCATGCTAGAGCCAAGCTGGCAGCAAGCAGGAGCCGCGCTCTTGCTCCTCATCCTCCCCTCACACACTCTTTTCACAGTGAACGGGCTCCAGGCTCGGACCTTCGGCATCTGGACCCTGCTGTCATCAGTGATTCGCTGCCTCTGCGCCATTGACATCCGCAACACGACGTACGTAAAGGAGCATGAGAGTAACCCTCGGGTTTGCCTGCTAGTCCTGAGTTATCCTGGCGGGCAGTTCGGCTGAGCTGTGGAATCAGAAACTGTTCCTGAACTTTCTCTAGGGTTCTAAGTGTTCCTCTGAAAAGCACTTGGTGGGCAGTGGAACATCTGCGTGTGACCTGCTGCTCCCTGGAGGTCGGGCCTGCCCATTTGAGCTCTCTTCCTTAGCAGAAGAAGAAATTGATAGATCTGAGGACTTTCTGTGTCCCAGGCTTCTGAGCTCCTGTGTGCAAACCATCTCCTGGTGGTACCATTGCTGTGGCAATAATGAGATCAGACTGATTCTTGGCACCTCTTTTGCTGTGACAGCTCAGCCAAAGGCTACGCAGCAGGTTGACAGGCCCCTAGCATTGGGTGTTAAGAGCACATGGGAGAAGGCAGTGGTTGCCTGGGCATGAGGATGGCACGTCTCTGACCTGAGGTGCCCTCTGCTCCTGAGGTTTCCAAGTAGCCTGGCTCTGGGTCCGTGGTAGGCAAAGCCTTTGCTAAAGGTTGCTAGAACCTGCTGTTAAATGCTTCCCGCGGTGTCCGTGACTAATCGCATCGCTTAGGAGCCATCCTGGCCTGATGGGCATTATCATCCCCTCCCTGCCCCAACAGGCTCGTGTCCAGAAGGCCTCGGGAGAGTTCTCCATGCCGCTAAAGTTGTTATGCCCCTGGCTGCATGTTCTTGGATTGAGTAGGTTTGTCTGTGGTAACGGGCATAGGGGCTCAAGTTATTTGGTATGGCAGTGGCTCAGGGGTTAGAGGCAATGCCAATTACCATGAAGCTTACCATGAAGCTTGTTGTTTCTTTAAAGGACTTTTTATCCTGGAGCTCTTGGACCTGCTCCCTTTTTGCAGCTCTGGCCCCCAGAGGGTAGCAGGGGTCAGGTAGGAAAAAAACTCCTGGGTGCTGCAGCCTGGAGACAGCCCATCCTGCCCAGTTACAGGGCACCCCTACCCTCATCCTGCCAGTTCTCACCCACCTTCTGCGCACACGCGCGCCGCTTAGTTCACGTGTGTCCTGCCCTTGCTTCACCCTCTTTATTTACATTCAAAGCAGATAGTGGCTGTGACTTTTAATTCTGCTTTCAGCTGTTGCCCAGGGATTTTTTGGACTTCACTAGGCCAGCGAACAAGTTCCATTTTTTCCCTCAGAGCACTTCCCTCTTTGATAGGAGTGCCTGCATAATTCCAGGAAGCAGGATGTCATCTGCGCATCTGTTTAAGGGAATGTCTGAAAAACACTAAATTCTCTCCCTCTTCAGGGCCCCTTAAGCGTTAAGTGCATGAAACCCTTCTGGCCTAGTGCTGTGCCTTGGCTTCACTGGTCTCCCCAGCCTTACCTAGCTGTGGCATGTCTCGTCCACCTCATGCCCTCAGGACTCTGGTATCCACTTAAATTACCTGAAGAAGTGCCCATCTTTGAAGAACTGCTGGTAAAATGTGTAGAAATACATCAGACCCATCCCTAAAAACAGTGCTGAACCCAAGAAATTACAGACTCCTCTGGTAATGCCAAGTAGCACTTTGCTAGGTGGACTTTTCTGCCTGCCCTCTTGGCTGCCATAGTGAGGACAGACGGGGCAGAAGACGGGTTCATGTCTTTTCTGCTCTGCCACATGCAGGCCCATACTTTATGGTAGCTTTATACTCTACAGTATATACAGCATATACTCCACACTACTCTCTGTAGAGTATAAAACTGTATAAAATCATAGAATCGTTAAGGTTGGAAGGGAGCTCTAGAGATCATCTAGTCCAACTCCCCTGCACAGTAGCTTTATAGTCTATAGCTTTATAGTAACATTTCTTTCTGCTCTCCAACAGCCTCTATTACATCACCCTCTTCACCTTCGTTATGGCCCTTGTTCACTTCCTCTCTGAAGTCTTCATTTACCACACCGCGGCCCTGACTATTGGAGTCATGGCACCCCTCATGGTGGCAAGTAAGTAGAGCTCTGCATTTCCCCCAGCCTTGCCCTGGAATCACAAGCTGGGGAGACAATGGTGGTATGGTGGTAAGAAGTGGGAATGTCTCCTCTCTTTTCCAGCATATTTTTTTTACACAACTCATTCTGCCATCTGTCACAGGTTTCTCTATCCTGGGGATGCTGATTGGGCTGCAGTACCTGGAAGTAGAAGCACTGTCAGAAAACAAGAAGAAAAACTGAAGGTGAATGCCTGGTGTAGGTCAGTGTCGCCTCCTTTATTTTCACTGCCACTACATTCCCACTAAAGCGCAGCTGCAGCTCTACCAGGGCTCCCGTCCCACTGGCAGATCACTGTTGGACTCTGTCAATCATTCGTTATCATGCGTTTTTCTCTTGTCCAGGCAACATTTGAACTGGCCACTGTCAAATGTCAGGTTCTAAAGAAGTTTGTGTCAGAGCTTGCTGGGGCATTTGCTGAGGCTGTCTGCCCTGAGGGTAGCGGGTTTTCTCTTGTCCAGGCAACATTTGAACTGGCCACTGTCAAATGTCAGGTTCTAAAGAAGTTTGTGTCAGAGCTTGCTGGGGCATTTGCTGAGGCTGTCTGCCCTGAGGGTAGCAGGGGGTCTCAGGCAGGTCCCCCACCGTAAGGACCTCCTTCCTGGTGTGTCTGGGGGGAAGGAGGGTAGAGTAACCCAGGATCCACTGAACTTCTGCCAGGAAAGAACATGTGCTGCCCCTGCTGCATAACTTGCATAAGTGTGTTCCTCAGGGGCCCTTTCTAACAAATGACCAAAAACTGTCAGGCACTATGTCTGTCTCTGCTACACAGCAGAGAGGAGGAGCATATCCAAATTTGGCAGCATTTTTGCTTCATATTGAAGCAATTCAATGATCTTTCCTTACAGCAAACCCACTTTTCCCTGACTCCCTACCACAAAGCACCAGGTTTAACTGCTCATATCACACAAGTAAGTGAAGAGAGTTGTTGTAGATCCCAATTCCCCTGCTTATTAGTGATAGCAAACGAGATGCTTCTGTGAGCAAGAACCGAGTTACCTTTGCAGTTGCCTATGACTACAGACAAGGCAAAAAAAAAAAACAGGAACAGACTGCAGCAACCTCGCTGAAATAATATTCAAAACAGATGGACAATGCACAGAAAATAGGAAGACACCAGCATGAGCTCCTGGCTAGGAAGCCTGTGCACGTGAGGAAGGAGGCAGAAGGAAAAAGAAGCATAAGGGAGAAAAAGAGCACAACAGTACCACTGGGCAAAAAAATATCCATTCTGTAAAATATTTCATGATTAAAAAACAAATGCAGACAGCCAGTTTAAGCCATTTAATATTAAAGTGTCATGTTTCATTCATGCGTTTGAAATGTTTTTGCTTTTATATAAAAAAGTCTTTAAAAAACACTTTAGACATTCCCCCTGCCATGTTCTATCTCAAACTACCAAATATGGGACTTAAAAAAAATTTAAGTGGCAGAAGTTTAATGTCAAAAGAAAGGTTTCCTCAAAAATGCTATGTTCAAGAGAGCTATTTTCTTCTACTTTAACCTTTACTTTTTCAAAAGTATTTGTGCACAACTCCATTATTTAGTGGGTATGGAATATGTGATGTCTCCATCAGGGCAGTAGCTATCTGTCTGATGCTGAAAAGGAAGGAGAAGGGACAAAAGGATTTATACCTGTGATCAGGTAACAACAGCAAACATGGAAAGCATTTGCAAAACACACATGCTGGCAAGGGGGCTATTTTTTCCTGTTTCCTATTATAAAATAGGAAGCTTCCACCCTGGAGCAAATCTTCATGCCCACCTCACTCAAACACCTCACTGTGGCAGTACAAAGCAATGCAATTCTGGCTGGCTATCCCAATAATAGGACTTCACAAAAGAAAATGTTGGGTTAAAATAAGCAAAAGGCACTTTATCATCAGTGGCCCATAGTCCAGGGAGCTTGTGGCTTGACTCCTGTTGCTAGTGTGGGGTGCTGGGCAGGGTCAGGCTGTAGATTCAACCCTAGAGCTAGACTGCTGCTAGGCAGAATGAGCTGGAGTTTGCCCAGGATGACACTGGTTTCTCTCCATGACTCCTATTAGATGGGAACATCACGGTAAATGAATTCTCAGTACAGGTTTATCCACAGACCAAGTGTTGCAATGGGGACAGCCACATATAGATCCTGGAGCTCGCAGCAGCAGACACACAGCTCTGCACTGGCTGGAGAGGTGCAGAGGCTCCAGCACCACCTCTGCAGCGTGGAGAGCACACAGGCACGGAGGCAGAGCAATCCGTCTTCTTTACAGACAGATCACAACTCTTCCAGGATAGCTCACAAACTAAGCGTGGTCCAGCTTGTACCTTTAATGTCACAGCTTCTCTGTGAGAGGAAACACAGGCCAGGTGCAGGGTGTTCTCTTGCCCATATGCTCAGGTCTAATCTGCAAATGCAGCCTTACTTTTCTGAGCATGTTTACTTCTTCCAAGCATAGAAGGGTTGGTGAGGGGAGAAAGGGAGAGTGGTGGCTTTTCTCTAGCTTTGCTTCAAGCAGTAAGGTCTCCAAAGGCAAGATGCAGAGGTGTAACTTGAGAGAGCAACCCTAAAGTTTTGCTCTTTCCCACATTTTGCAAGGAGTTCCCTGGGCTCCTGCTCTGAGACTGCCCAAGGCCATACTGCATGCAGGCCAGGAGAATGGCACAGGTGACAAAGGTGGGAATGGGAAGGAGAGCTCTGCCACCCCTCCTTTTCACAGCTTGGATTCTTCAAGGACGATGGGATCAGTGCAGGCTTCGGGAATCACTTTCTGCAAGTCAGACAAAAAAAGCAATGTTGTCATTGACTTAAAATAAAACATGCAAGTTCTTATGGGTAAATGTGAAATCTCCCACAGCCTAAACTCTGTGCTAACTCACTGTGGGGCAAGATGGGGGTCAAGTGCATGAGAAAGATTCACATCTCAAAGCAGCTCAACGTAAGTCCAAGCAGCGTGGAAGCAGAAGATAGAAACAGTTGCACTTTGAGTAGTTTCTTACACAAACTGCAGCTGAAAAGGTTTTACAGAAGTCAGCAGCAATATCCCAAAGCTGAAGAGTGAGATGAGGAGAGTTGCGGAGAGATGCTCGGAGGCATAAGCCAGGAAGTGCAAGGAGAGAGTTCCTATCAGCACTGGGAAGGGCAGAAAAAGGGTTGCAGGAAGTGGTGCTACAGGTAGGGGTAGCAAAAGGGTTTGCTTAGGCTCTGGAAACTCCACTGGAATACATCCCAAAGCATGCTGGCAATTCTGAGCAGGCTTGCCAAGCCTTGCGAGTCCTGATGCCACTTACCTGTCCTCAGCTCTGGAACTTCAGGAACCCAGGTTTGCAAGATCAGCGAGAGCCACAGGGCTCCACCATCTAGGGAAAGGAAAGCTGCACTCACAGGTGGGGTCAGGAACAGGCCATGGGGATGGCCTGCCTGTGGGTTGGAGGTAGGAGAAAGAGAAGGCTGTTTGTCCCCACAATAAACACAGGCAGCAGGGAGGTCTTGGGAAGCAAAACTGAAGTAGTTCTTTCATATTCACTGCTAGACAAACTTCCTCCGGAGCATGTAGAGCACGCTACAGCTTGCAAAAGACTCCAGCAAGCTAGAGAGGTTGGGCAATTACCCTAAGGACCTCTCCTTGGAATAAAAGGCAACATGCTTTGGGGTATTCCACTGAGATCCATCAGATCTCTGCATCCAGGCAAGCAGGAAAAAAAAAAGCAAACAACAAAAGATGGTTTGCATGGATACTAGAAACCAGAAGCAGGTGAATACAGATTGTACACAGCACATACAAACATATAATATACAAAATGACACAGCTATGAATCCCTAAGGTAGACTGCTGGATGATTTCTGATTCACTTACAGCAAAGGCAACCCACAAACAGTATCACGTAGATAGGGTGTTTGATCTAAGTGTCCTGAGGTACAGAAGGCTAAGCTGGTTGATGACCTGTGAACCGATTGTGTGGAACAATTATATCTTTATCAGAGGACAAGGGGTTCATAGTGCCATTAGGCTAATTTAGCTCCCACTGCAAGTTTAAATGCAATATCTGTTTAATTATAACTTTAAGCACAAAAAGACACTGATAGAAGACAAACTGCCGGTGGACATAAGGTAGGTCCTGCGGGAAAAATGGAAAATATCCTGCAGTGAAATCACAGCCACCAAGAGCTCTGAAAGACTAGAGCCTAGAGGCTGCCATCACTGGACAGAGTCAGGGCTGACTTTGGCACTGAGGTTATGGGTGAGGTTATGGCTTTGCACATTCCTCTTCCCTAGAGAGAGCCAACAGTTCAACCTGATGCTAGTCTTTCCATTTCATTATCAGAAGCCACTATTAGGTGAAAATGGAAGAACTCCCCCTATGAGGATTGACAAGTGTGTTTATCCTCCTGTGCATCATTAAGACACTGGGAAACCAAGCCGTTCCGGTGTCATTCTGCCCCAAAGCCGTTCAATAACTGAACACAGAATTAAAGATTCTGACAGCTTCCTACCAGATCATTTCCATTTCTGGACCAGAAGGAAGCGTACCTTGCTAAGACAGTACCCTGCTCTGGATGCTGGTTCTGGCATAGGTCTCCACTGGGTCAATTTACCATCATGCAGTCAAAAGGTGCTGCAGTTCAGCAGATAGAGCTCTGCATTCCTCAGAAGATCACCCCTGGATGAGTGCCAGTCTGCTTGCAGCAGGCATACAACAGCACACCCATCCCTCGCAGTGTCTGGCAGCTAACATGTCAATGGTAACACCAGCAGTTGTACAAAGCTACGTCCTATACCAGTCACAAAGGCAGCAGCAACATGAGCTTCAGCCACCAGACAAGTCTCAGCACATCCCATCAGGTCTGCTCAGTTTGTACAGCTACTCAGCTCCTGGTACCCAAAAACCCAGCACACCTACCCCTGCTAACACCAGCACAGACTGCAGCATGGAGAAAGACTCAGGAGAGCCCCATCCAGAGCCACAGCCCTCCCCTGCCCACCTGACTCCAAAGCAGACAACTTTTTGTGCTAGCGCACAGCCCGACCTCAGCAGCAGTAAGGCTGGATTCTCCAGCAGACCCTCTCTGCCTTTGCCAATTGGTCTTGTTTGCCGTGGCCCTTACATGATGTGCATCTGATGAACACAACGAAAAGCAGAGGGCAGTGTGGTTAACTAGACAGAGCAGCCAGCCAAGGTGAAGGGTAGTAAGCAGCAAGGTGTTACAGCTTAAGAAACATCTGAAAAATAACCAAGAGCCATTGAGAATTACAGGTCAGCAAGCACAGTTTTAAAACTTTCAGGCATTCTCACACCAAAAGGCACCAACCCAATGATTCTGGTGTTGCTACAGGTCTTTGAACTTCTAGCATGTAATAGGCATCCACCACAGCTCTTCTACAGAGCACTTCATCTCCCCAACAACTTGCTGACCCTTCAGTTCTCTATCCGCAGCCCAACCACTAGGCTCACGTCAGATAAGGGCCTCTTCAGGAATCTTAAGAACTGTCTCCCCTCTCCTTTCCCCATGTTAGACCTGCACCTCAGAAGGCCAGCAAATCTCCTAGCACTCTGCAGCCATTGCTGTTGCCCCAGAAGTGCCATTGGCTTGGTGCCTAGGCCACCCGTGAATGTTCAGACAAGCAGATTAGTGATTCTCCTACCTTTGTGCAT